GCAGGGAGATTGCACACAAAGTAGAAGACAAGAAAACACAAAGGGCCAACTTTTTGTTTGCAGGATAGTGTTATATAAAGCACGGTATTACAGTTATCTTTTAGAGTTGGACATGGACAGTACATTTTTATTTGGTGGCTAAGGAATTTATCTGTCCTAAATGTGTCTAAATTTCTGAACGGGTATGAGCAACAATCCTTCATACTCTTCTTCTAATTAACATACCTTTCTCTGTTTCTTTTCTTTGTCTGCCTTTTTTTTTTTTTTTTTTTTTTTTTTTGGTGTTAGCAATTTCTTTTGAGCAGAAACCTTTCTACTTTCTCTTATTCTCTCCCATTGGTTATGTCATTGCTAGGTTCAAGAGAGTATAATCTCCAGTATAAAAATGGAGAAAAATAGAAGGATAAGGTACTAACATTTCTCAGAACCTTTTTTTTTTTCCTTCAAGCTGTTTTTAGAATTGGGAAGATAGAAAATGTTTACACTGGGATGATTTACAAAATGGACTTCCTGAGATTTTTAAATGATGCTGCAGAGAAGACTTCACAAATTGAAAAGGCCGTATTTCCTGGAGCAGAGAAAAATGGTTGAGAGTGGTTGTTCACACTATCATCTAAAAAGAAAAGTGGATACATAACACTACACCCATGGGAAAAAGAAAAAACAAGCAAAACTATGAACAATATGGCAATGCACTGTGATAACAAAAACTCATCTTCAAAAAATATACAAGAAATAAGTGTGCTGTCAACATGGTTATACATCACACACATTGCACCAGTCAAACCAAAATGGTCTAGTAACTACCATTCTTAGTTTTAGCCTAAGGCAAATATGAGGTAAAATGCGAGTATATAACACTACCAGCTCAGCTAATCCACAGTAATTTACTAATCTGTTTTACAGAATACATGTAGCTGTGTTAATTCAACAAGCCAAACCTTATTCCCATAAAATGGAAAAGGTGTAATAGAATAGGTTAAATTTCACTCATAGTATGTGGTCAAATACCAGTTTTGAGTATTCTTTTTAAAGCTAATTGAACTTGCGTGAAATTGAAGTTGCTTGAACTAGCTTGTCTGTTTGAACTAGCTTGCTTGAAATGTTTTCTGTTTTTAAAAAAGTGGCTTCATAATAATAAAAATACTCATAGGAAAGGCAAACTGTTTACTTTCAGCAACGACCCCTTTTATTTTAGTATTTTGAGTTTTATAGATCACATTAAGATATCCTACCATTGTGTGATACCAAACAAAAGTTCTTTACTGTTTGCAGTATAGTGGACTAGGCTATTACTTACACTGACTTTATAGAGAACATAACTACTTAAAATTAAATGTTTCAATTATAATATTTTAATTAGGTTTGAATTTATTGTTGTTTATTTTTTTAATAGATAATTTTATAATTTGACCCTGTTCCCCCAGTATACACATATTTTGTCACTTACAGTGGTGTTTTTGTTTAAGGGTATATCTAGCTATTAGACAACATGTTTCTAAAGGAGTTTCGAAGATCGAATAAGTATTACCATTCTCACTTTGTTTGACCTGCTCTATTTACACAGGTTTTTATGTTTCTCACTCATTTTCCCTGATGCAATTAGTTTGTTTTTAAGAGAGCAAGGATGTGCATGCAACATAATTATTAACACCCATGTCTCCTCCAGTTAAGTTCTTTCAGTCAACACTTCACTGGAAAAATCATAAAATGGATTTCATTGTGTGCTTGTCTAGGAGGGACTAGACCAACTCTATGTTTCAGTGAGATTTAGGCACTTAAATATAGAGCAACTTTGAAATCCAAGGCTTCAGCATTTTTCTAGGTGACCTAGAAAAATAGGTCATTCAAAGCTAAATTCACATATTTAGATTTCTCCTTATATACTTATTTATACACTATCTCCATTAGCAAATACTTATAAATATACATAAATGTGTGTGCATGTATATGCATATCTTTCAGCAAGTCTTCCATTCTTCCTTGATTTTATAATGGATGCATGGATGCATCCATTTTAAGCATGGATATGGCAAATATCTTACCACAATATACTTAAGAAAGGATCATGAGACAGGACTTGGAAAGATTAAGGAAAAAACAGTGATAAAGTATATGAACTCGGAAAGAGATACTGATCTGGAAATGAACTATTAGTGCATGCTAAAAATCCATGTAACTGAGAGATGACTGAATGACTGTCAATGACTGCGGAGGACAGAGGACTGTTTTTTGCAGCTAATATGTGGTAACAAACAAATTAATCAAGCTATAATCAAATTATGTAAAATACATTGCAATGATAGTGTACAAAAAAGGAAGCAAAATACCTGAAACCCGTCTTCTTCTCATGTCATTCCTAAATCACATTTGTAGAAATTGTTTTGTAGAAATCAGATTTCCTCTATTTTTAATTATGTAAATGATGTACTATAACTTTAAATAGCTGATATAGATCAACTTACTTTTTATTTCAGTCTTTCAGGTTTTCTCTTTTCCCATCTATTTATACTTTGGGAAGATCCATGGAATTCTTCCCACTTTTTCAATAAAACTAGCAAAATTTTTATACAGGAAAACCTAACACTCATGAATGACACAGTATGTTTAAGAAGGAACTGGGATTTGTTTTTAAACAGAATTTGGAAGATAACACTTTAAATAGATAATGAAACTATGATTTTAGGCATAGTTATTGAGTTCTTAAATAAGGGGGTTTTCAACTTTACATAATTGTGGCTTTTCGACCTACAATAATTCCTTAATAACTTAACCTCTCAGGTTTTCTTTTGGTGTTGGTTACTAATGTTTATAGCTTGAATTATTAATATAATTTTATCTTGCATAAGGAAGCGGTTTATATCTGTATCTCTAAAATTGGACCCCAGCCATAACGTTTGTATAACTGATAAAAATCTGCTACTCTGCTACACTGAAGCAAACTTCCTAATAATTGTCATGGAAATAGATTAGTTAAGAGTAAAGAATTGAACACAAAGGTTATCACAAACCTTTTAACTGAAATTAGGGGATCAACTTTATGTATTATGAATTCACTTAAATCTTAAGAAATTAATGTATTTTGCTTTTCAATAAGTGAGGGATAAGAGACAGCTGATCCTCCCATGTATCTGGGTTTCAGGTTCCTAGAAGCTACATTTTGAGCTTAATCTCCCGAATTACACAAGATTTGTAAATTTGGTAAAAGAAAACATTGCCATTAAACTCAAAGTAAGAAATTATTATACATTGTTTTATGTATCTTTATATAAAAAGTTACAAGTAGCAAGCATATGACACAGAAATGGAACAGTAACAGCAATAATTGTGAATGCATGCTTTTTACAATGTATCTAATAAAGGGTTATTTGCCAACTCAAAATATTCAGTAACATACATGCAGATTATTTTCTCAATGTCAGATTCAATCATATTGCTAGATGCTTATCCAACAAACATTTCTATTGAAGTGATTATGAATGGCTAAATACCTGATTTCAATAAATTGTTCCTGAAATTGGGAATTTAACTTGCAACAAAAAGGAGAGAGAAAAAGAAAAAGAAAAATGACTGATAAGCATAATAACCAAAGTCTTATTGCCTTCTAGTAATTTTACTCAACACTGTTTGCTGAATTTTGTCATGATATGAGAATGGCTGGTCAGAGAGTCCATAAAACCTCTAGCTGGTGTTTCCAAGGATGATAGTTTCATATTTCATTGTAGCATGTTCAAAATCACCCAGGAGCGCACTATTCTCAAGCAGTCTATATAATGAAAACAACGTACATATAACAAAAGTTCAATGTAAATCTTCTTCCACATATCACACAACAAACAAGTAAATAACAGACATAAAACATATTAACTGAAATAAAACTAAGATTTTTTTTTTTTTTTTTTTTTTAAAAGGACAGTCTCAGTTAGGAGCTAATTTCTTCTTCAAGTTTGCAGCAAATCTCCAAATATATTTAAAAACTAAGGAGCACTTGGTGGCCAGCAACCAAATTACAAAAGAAACATATTATTGTGCAATGGGAATATCTTGCTAAGGAAGTAAGATATGTCTGTGCTTCTTAGGTTTGGATAAAGGCAATGAAATGTAATTAGAAACATGTCCACTCTCTCTTTCAGACAGCTGAAATAATTCACTACAGATTTTTCCATTCAGAGTTTGCGTGACTGCATGAATAGTTGTCTGAAAGCAAAACAAAGTTAAAACATGTTCTCTCTATGAGGAAAAATACAGACAAATATTTACCTAAACTATCTAGAAGCAATAAAAGCATTAATGGATTCTTTCCCAGCAAAATTGCTGTATACATATATACACATATAAACATGTATATACACATATCTATGTTTATATATATATACACACACATATACATATATAAATTGACAGACTAGCGGTTATCTATAACTTCATTATAAACATCTGAGATTATGTTTATTGAGATTAAGTGTTAATAACAAATTAAACAAAATGAAAAGCCTAGGAAAAGACTCAAAAATGGAAGTTTAATTTGCAAACATTAACATTAGTGCTACAGAATCTCTCAATTTGTCAGTGCTACCACATACCCTTCCCCCAACAACTCACAAGGTTGAATGAATAAAATGAGCTGAAATCAGATAGTTTCGCATCTTCCTGTCTTGGGTTAGATTGCCAAGTTTTACACACTATTTCACATGCTGGGACTCTAAATTTTATTTTCATAAATAAAAAAATAAATGAAACACCTGAGCCATGCAAAGCATCTATTTTTGGATGATTATAGTGCTGTCAAGAATAAGGAATTAGTAGCTTTTGCTTAGTTTACAATGCTAAAGTGGTCGTCTGTCTTTCAGTTTTCTCAGTATTCAAACCTGGCTCTCTCCATACAAGGTGACATATAACTTGAGAACTAACATGCATTTTAGCATTATAACAAATAAAATGGAAAGCAACAGATGGTTCAATTGTTGTATAGGTATGTTTACTTACCTCAAGTTTGTCTCTTAGACCCTAGTTGTGTTGTACTCAGACTCATGTTTGCTTAGAGACCCAATGAGGCAGAACCTGGAATGTTATGGCTATTTCATTCAAAATAATAATGTTTGCATAGAAAAAAAAGAAATATATGCATATAGATACTTAAGGAACAGCATACCTTGATAATCTGATCAATATTCATGAAGTAATTTACATTGGCATGCAATTAGATTAAAATAATCAAATAACTTATTTTTTTTAAGAGACAGAAATGCCTTAATGTGCAAAGAAAATATGGAGGGCATGTGAACAGTCACAAGAAGTGCATAAATAATGCATGCAAGAGAAAACACAAATACATATAAAAAGTTTCTGTGTTTTTTCAAATAAATAGTTCATAACTGTTTCTGCTTTTCTTTTTCTTTTACTTGTAAACTTTTAATCATTCATATTTACAGTCATTCAAAGTGCAATATACAGTAGAAATGGCTCTTTTATTAAAACTATCATGCTTGACTACTTTTTTTTTTATTAGAAAGATTCCTTTTAACTACATTCTTATATGTAAAAATATGAGTATTCTCTATTCACTATGCTGTCTCATGTTCTAATCGATATATATATATATATGTTAATATGACAAGCCAAGATACTGTGATTAATAATGAAATAGATACGGTAAAGTTTTGCAAATATTGTCATTCATTATATAAAAGATAATGTTTCATGAGAAAAGGGGTTTCCTTACCCCAGGATTGTGTTTCTCATTATTGTCCCATGCATCAAAATGGATACATGTATTATTTATTGATGTATTGTATTTAGAGATGTTAGACCAACAGTGGATGATACTCAAGGCCACCTCATTTACAAGGAAACCACGTGTATGTGGCTCTTTCAAAAACTAGATTCACACAAAATCTTCTTTGGTTTTTAAAAATTGTACCTGTTCTCTGTTGACCTGTGTGTGTATGCATGTGGGTATGTGTAAAATAGTAAAAGAAAAAGAAAGATATAAAGAAGAAAGGTAAAACTGAGATACAGGATCCTTCAGGAAACAGGAGCAGAGATGAGAGACAGAGAGACAGGAAGAGAGAGGTAATATAATGGTATGTGCTACCAGGAAACAGAAATTTAATCAATAAATAAAGAAGAAAGAAAATATGTCTTTACTGAATAAAGAGTGAATATGTTTGGGCAATCAAGTCCTTACACAATAGTCTTCATCAAAAATCTATTGATACTGACCGCTGAACAGCTTTATCATGTCTGGACAGCCTGTGACTTGTGGTTGGTACCTCTTCAATTTCGTCTATCTCACACGCATCTGCAGCATCTTGTGAGTAGCTATGCTTCATGACAAGGATATTTCTCCTGTTCATGGGCTGAATGAGTGGTTTTACAGGCTGGGGTTGTATTTCTGTCAAGACAGAAGCATCTCTTGTGCTGAGGTTACTACGGCTGCCCTTAATGCTAGACACTTGTGATCCACAGTGATGGTCATGAATGCATTTTGAAGATGATCTCCGCAGTTTATGATAATTTTCAAAGTCATCTGCAACATCAGCAAGGTCAGCTGTAGGCCCTGTCCCTCTGAGGGTGCATAACTCATAATGAGGAGGCTCAAACACCTCCTGGAACACTGTTTGATCAAAGTCTGTTTTCCTTTGGACAAATTTTTTACGAGGCTGCTTGATCTGTACTATAACAGAGATAACAATGAGGATGATCACAATGCAAGAAGTCACCCCAATTATAGTCCCACTGGTATTGGTAAGTTGGTCCAATAGGTTAGCTTTTCTTTTTTCTGTGTGACAGGAGGAAAAAAAAGCACAGTATTAATTACAGTTCAAGAATAAAAACAACCATGATGGGTTCACATGGTTGAGTTGCCAAGCCTAGTCTATGTCTGAGTTCACTTAATCAATCTAACTGACAAAAAGAAAAAAAGGAAGAAATCAGGTGTTCATGAAAACCAAATAAACAACACACAGGTCCTCTGTGTGCCCATTCACTTGGAAAGTGATTTATGCAGGGCATATTACAAGCTTAATTAGGTAAAAGAATTATTTGCAGTTTTTATAAAAAGCAACCACCATAACAAGCAGATGGCTTTAGTGTCACCTCTGAACTCCATTTGTCTGCTAAAGCCCCCAAGACTGTTACAGATGTTCTCTTCATTATTTTCTGTCTCTTCCAGTATATATATGCAACTAGGACATTAGGACCAATGAAAGAGCGAGACTTTACAGGATTTGAAAAAAAATTCTTCTTTGCATTGGGAACTTCGGTGAAGTCTTAGTATTTATGAGCTGACTGGGACTGTTGACAGTGTTCAATGAAAAAGCTAAATCAGGAGAAAATAGAAAAGTTATTCAAATTGAGGTTTCAGAAAGGAAAAAAAAAATGTGTGCAAGTTATTTCTTTTGTTCCTGACCTACTAATTACCACAACTTTTCTAAACACCCATAAAAATCCAAAAGCTGATCCTACCTACTATCTTTTACTCGAGGTCCTCTAGGAAGTTAGCCAGCAAATTCAGCATTGTGGATGAAGAAAAACAGAAAATATGCAGTAAAATAAAAAAAGCTTTACCCTACTGTTGTGTATATTTCTCTGTGATTTGCTTTCAAATGGCTGCAGACACATGAGACAGTGACTGAGCCTTGTAGAAATCCAAGCTGAAAGCATTCGCATCAGTCTCACAGGCATCGCAAGACTCGACAACTGTGATTAAGTTTCAACACCCAGTTCAGTGTAATTTTTCCTGGCAACCTAAAACATATCAAAGGACTTAACAAAAAGCTTTTGAAATGAAAGTTATTGGCACCAAAACAATAACATCCATCTCTTCATAATCTCCTAGATACCAAAAATGAACTTTTCAGTACTCCCCATTGCCTACTCTTGTAGATTCACCTGGGGTTTCTCTAACTGACTGACACAGACTCTGGGGAAGTAGCAGAGTTAAAAAAAAGCAATACAGCAGCAAACAACCTTTTTGCTGGAATCAGTAAACGTCCTTTTTCTAGTCAGAAAAACAAGAGAGGGTACATGCACAAGACCCAACGAAAAGATACTTGGCAAATGAAAGATGAAAATCATTCTGGAAATTAAAGAGTGGGGAAGGTTTTCTGTTTTCCTCTGTGCTGAGGAATTAGAGAACAGATAATTATTTCCTAATCATATGTTTAGTTTCTTTGAAGAATATTATGCCATGCCACAGTTTTGCTGTGTTCTTTTTAAGTATGTTTTCGTTTGTGGTTTACCCTGTTGCACTGCTTGTCAGGATTTTACAGGCTTCAGCGGACTTATGGGCTGACTGCTAATCCATCTCATTCTGAATTTTTTCTTGATTGGTTCCTAAATTTGGCATATCTCATGTTTCCAGGAACAAATCTGCAGCAGCGCGGTGAGGGTGGGGGCCGGCGGGAGGGAAGCAAACTGTCTCCCTAGCCTGCAATGTAAGTTAGCTAAGCTCTTTTCCCTGAAGACAACACAGATGCTGATTTTTTTTTTTACAGAAACACAGAGCAATATTTAGAAGCCATTGTCAGTGCCTGGTTAGGAATATCAGTCCCTACCTATGAAATAGACATTATGCCTGATTTCCTGTGCTTCTTCCTTGCTTTTCAATTTCACTTGATTATAGACAGATTTGGTTGCTTTCTTACAGTGTTAATTCCACTTCACCTTGGCTTTTTAGCTCACCTGGGCTATTATGGGCGTGGCATGCAGCTAAAAGACACCTGCTACCCATATGTTACTCCACTACAAAGGTAACTATGACAAAAGAACCAAAATGTGACTTTTAATTACATTTTAGATTGTATGGGAAACAGAGATCAAGTGATCAAAAAGCCTGTCAGAAGGACATAACCAGCCGGAAGGACATAACCAACACAAATCAACACCAAATGCAAACACTGAAAGTAAAATCCATTGGTATTTTTACCTCTCTTAATTTTCTCTATTACTTGATGTATGCTTTCCCTGAATTACTCTTCCTGAGCTTTGACCCATCTGGCACATACTTAACAAGAAACTAAGGACAATATGTTGTATCCCACGCAGTCTAAATGACTTGACATTTCCAATTCTACACATTACCTTTGCAGTGGTTTTCATCCCAAGGATACACACAATTCTGGAGTCCATTGCAGACCAATGTATTATTAATACACATATTACTGTGGCAAAAGAATGTGTTGGCTTCACAAGGGGCTAAAAACAAGAGAGAAAAAGCTGATATTAAGTAGTAAATCATTTAGGTCTCCGCAACAAACACATCTAGGAGTGATCATGTAATCTGTAAGAGGAAAAAGCTATATAACACAGGTTCCTTGAGCATATTTAATATTCAACAGGCAGCATTGAGAGCACTCAAGTCACACACTGTTTGTTATTCTGTGGCAGGAGATTTTCAGTTCTGTCTAAGACTCATGGACTTTCCCATAGTCTGACTCTCATGGCTCTAGTGGGTTGGCCCCCCATACATTGGTGGGGGGTCACTGATGTGTTATCAACAGATTTAGCCACAGATCCAAAACACAGCACCCAATCATCTGCTATGAAAAAAGTTAACTCTATCCCAGCCAGATCTGGTGTATGGGAGATAATTTGGTTTAAATTTTGTTGCTGAAACTCCAGTTTTATAAGAAAACTTGTGTGACTCAAAGAAGATACGTACTTTAGTGCCTATATCAATAATGCCTGAACATTTATACACAGAGAAAATAAAATTATTTTTAAAACCTTTTAGTCATAAGAAAGTCTTCAGTAAAAAAGTACCCCTTCGATCACAAGTGTGAAGATTAAAAAAAGCAACAGTCTTCAGTGTCCCTGAAGCCCATGGTCTAGGAGAATCATGCAGATTAAAGCTGCAGAATGAAGGTTTTACTGAAGGGCATATACTATTACCGTGAAGAAGCAGCTTGGAAGCCATCATAAGGAATTGTACAGGCTGCTAAAGCGTGCTACGTACTCAAGTGTTGGGAGATCCTTAGGTGTTGGGGTTGTAAAGATATTACTCCAAAATTATATAGCATAGTAAAGATAAATTACTCTTCATATTTCTTTTATTAAAATCAAACCAGAACATCTTCCTCCATTTAGAAGAAGAGCTACAAACTTTATCAGTGTTAAATCAGTAAAAATGAACAGTTTATGTATTTTTTTAGCTCAAACAACCCAAAACCATTATTATAATTATTTTTAAGGGAAAGTTAAAAAATAACCTAAGACACTTAACTAATCAGAAGGGAGTTATGATGCTTATGATACTTAGAATTTGATGCTTTATGGCAGTTTTTACTTAGAATTTGATGCTCTATGGCAGTTTTTCTCCACTGCAACTTTAAAAGCAGTTCCTATGACAACACATATGCATAACGCAGAGACTGACTCAGAGCAGATGACTGCTTCAGTGGTTTGCTAACTAAGGACAGTACAAAAGATTTATATTGTAGAACTTAATGACTCCATATATCATGTCAAGAAATCCACTTTTCAATAAGTGTTTAAGTTCAGATATCCATAACTGACCACAATGGCTTTTTCAGAGCAGTTATGGTCTGTTAAACAAACAGTAAATGCCATCAAAACACCCCCAAATATGCAACCATCCACTCAGATAAAACAGTATACGTATACAGTATCTCTTAGCCAATGCAGAAGACTGATCAGCCAGACTGGTTCTGCCCACTGTTCAATTTTTGTAAAAATCTGGTATACCATCTCCTAAGCTGCAGTGGCCCTGGTCGGGTGTTAAGTTTGTTACAGGAAGGATTTTACTTTAAACTGGACAGAAAGAGCAGAACAGCACGCGTGCGTATTAGCAAGGGAGGGTGCTTTCGGACAGTCCTTATCTGTCTGTTGTTGTTATTTGGGGACAGTGAGGGCTGAGATGGAAGATACTGTATCACTTCATGATGTGACACACCATATAGAGAACCCACCAGAGGCACTATCATCCTTTCACACTCTAACTGCGATCCCTGTTTCTGGGCAAGGGATCTTTTGGGACTGGTTATTTCCAACACACAGAAAGAGTCTCACTGCCTGCTCTAAGTGAAAAAGTGAAACAGAGAGGGAGAGAACTTATGAAAGGGAAACCTAAGAAGACCTAAGTAACCACCTATTCAAAATACATGGTAATAAGTAGGAAGTGCACAAGAAAAGACGACCCAAATGACAAACAGAGAAAGCACAAGGAGAGACAGGGGAACAAGGAAAAAAAATAAGTGCAGGATTAGGAAAGTTTATGCTAATAAAGCTGTAAAGAAGAGAAAAAAAACCACACCAAAACATCAAAAACCATACAAAGTGGCATGAAAGGCCTTAGAAGTGAAGTGGTGAGGACAGAGTGCTGTGTCTGAGCAGGCAGAACCTCCTAGATCTCTATGACTTGCTCTTGCCACTTTAAAATCAGTCTGATTTAATCCTGAATGCAACAGCAAATAAAGGATTAATAGTGGAAAAACAACCCCCCCAAAAATAAACAACAATTTAAGGGAAGGAAGGACAGTTTTGCGAGGCAGAAATAAAGGAATTTAAAAGTATGGTGGTGGTAGAAAAGGAGAACGACAGGAAGGTAGTAAAAGAAGTGAAAGGAAAAGGAAGAAAGAGAGAACTGCACAGCAGAAATAGATGACACTTAAGGCATTCTGCACTGAAAGGAATGACAAGAGATTTTACATCAAATGAAAAATATTAGGAAATGTTTCAGAAATAAGAAAGAAAAAATAAGAGCAGTAAAAAAATATTTTTTGCAGATTTAAGAAGAAGGGATAATTATGCAAAGTGGTAGCAGGGAGATCTGGAAATGAAAGGTAAGAAAAAGGAAGAAAAAAGAAAGAAAACAGTTTCTCTAAATTGTGCTGTTGAACTACAGAGGAAAGAGATGGTATGTGAATAAATGTCAAAACTAGATGAAGAACAAGGCAGAGCAATTTCAGAGTAAGTACAGCTAACTTAGCATGAGAGAAATGCAAATGTAAGATTCCTAAACCTAATGACAAACAGCCCCCTCTTGTTCATGTTTATAAAATTAGTATAGTCAAGTCCTCTCTGTGGTCCCTTGAACCTGGAGTAATTAAGCTGGACAAGAAATCAATATATTTTCCCCACTCTAATGAAGGCTTTTTGTTAGAATGAATGAAAGCATCAAGAGAAGCTGAAAACTTGTCAGTCCCATTGTGCATTGGAGGAATTAGGTTTTTTGCCCTTTAAGAGGCACAGCAAAGTGGTCTTGGGATGCTGTATCAAGGACATTCTAGTAATAGCAAAAAGATAAATGAACTGGTAGTAAATAGGATTCTTTTACAGCAAGATGGATCTGATCCTGATGCTTTCCTGAAGCTGTTACAGAACCGGATTGGGAGTGGAATCAAGCAGACAAGGTATGTGGCAGCAACACTTGATAGCTTAACCTAAGTCTTGAACATCATCTATGGCAATGCCTCAATATGTAAATGTTTAAACCTGAGGAAAGGTTGTGGATGTTTTCACAAAAGGAAGCTATTGCTATCCCTAGCTTCAACTAGATAAAGCAACACAAACCTCTCCACCCAGCAGAAGCCCTACTCTATCAGTCTATGGTCTTCCCCATGACCATATAAATGTCCTTTATATGAAAGAGCAGCGGGAATGCACAGAGCTCTGCCTTGGGTTGGGCAAGGAGCCAAGTGAGAGCTTTTGGGTCAGGATTAGTGGGCAGCCCTGTGTTGGCCCACGGCTACCAATATTGTAGTTAGTGTCTGTCTGCTACGGACTACCTGATCGGAGACAAGAAGTAGATGAAACCTTCTTCAGACAGCTGGAAGAAGCCTCACATTCACAGGCCCTGGTCCTTATGGGGGATTTTAACCACCTGATATCTGTGGAGGGCAACACAGCAGGGCACAAGCAATCCAGGAGGTTTCCAGAGTGCGTTGATGATAGCTTCCTGATACAGGTAATCAAGGAGCTGATGAGGGGAGATCTGCTGGGCCTCATACTTTTATAAATAAGGAAGAACCGGTCGGGTCTGTGAATGTCAGGTGCAGCCCTGGCTGCAGTGATCATGAGATGGTGGCGTTCAGGATGCTGCAAAGAGAGAATAAGGCAAAAAGCAGGATCACAACTCTGGGCCTCAGGAGAGCAAAATTTCACTGTTAAGGGGTCTGCTTGGAAGAATGCCATGGGAGGTAGTCCTGGAAATATAAGGGTTCCAGGCGAGTTGATTGATTCTGTAAGATCACTTCATCCGAGCTCAATAGTTGTCTATCTGGACAAGCAGAAAATCCAGTGATGGTGGCAGTTGGCCTGCACAGATGAACAATTAGCTCCTGACTAAACTCAGTCATAAAAAGGACACATGCAAGAGGTGGCAGCAGGGTCAGATGATTCCAGTAGAAATATAGGGGCACTTACCAAAGATGCAGTGACATAGTTAGGAAAGGTGAAGCCCATCTGGGGTTGAATCTGGTGAGGACTGTAAAGGGCAACAAAAAGGACTTCTACAGGTATGTCAGCTGCTAAAGCAAGATGGGGAAAAATGTGAGTGTGATGCTGAATGGGGCAGAGGACTTGGTGACAAAGGACATAGAAAAGGCTGAGGTACTGAATGCCTTCTTCTCCTCAATCTTTTTTTGTGGGATTTGCCTTTTGGAGTCCCAAGCACTTGAGATGAGGGAGAAAGCCTGGAGCAAGGAAGACTTACCCTCAGTGGAAGAGAACCAGGTTAGGGAATATTTAAGCAAACTGGACAGACACGAGCCCATGGGCCCTGATGTGATGCCCCCAGTAGTTGACTAATTGCGAGGACACTCTTGATTATTTCTGAAAGGTCCTGGTGATTGGGGGAGGTTTCCAAGGACTGGAAGAAAGCAAATGTCTCCCTGTCTTTGAGAAAGGTGAGAAGGAGAATCCTGAGAGCTACAGGTCAGTCAGCCTCATCTCTAGCCCTGGGAAGGTGACAGAGCAAATAATCCTGAAAACCATTTCCAAACACATGAAGGACAAGAAGAGTGTTGTCTGCATAGACTTATGAAAGGGAAATCATGCTTGACCAACATGACAGCCTTCTACAATTGGATGATTGGCTTGGTGAGAGAGGGGAGAGCAGTGGATGTTGTGTTTCTCTACTTAAGAAAAGCTTTCAACCCCGTTTGCCATAACATCCTCATAGACAAACTGATGAATATGGACTAGACAAATAGACAGTGAGTTGGACTGAAACTGGC